TAAGAGCAATTTTATAAAAGTAAACTTGAACTTTCGATTATGTCAAATAGAATTTCCGATGCTGGAGCACCCAAAGGATCTACAAAACGAAAGTATGTTTCGATGTCCAACAAATAAAAAGTGGAATTGCTCCAAAAAGCGTAGCAACTTAAACAACTTACATTGAAAGAAATGTTTAATAAAGTAAACAAATAAATATTAAGCTTTTTCTTTTCTTTTCTTTTTTTTTTTGTAAATTTTGATACCCTTTAGATCATAATTGTTCTTTATTTCATAAATTACGGTTTCATATTTTATTTTTAGAATTTCTGCATGCCATCTTACGAGATTTAAACTGATGATCTATAATCCGGAAAAATCGATAATCCGGAATCGCCGAAGTCCCAACGAGTCCGGATTAACGACTTTTGACTGTACTAGCTAGGTATGACATACATCGGAAACAGGAACAGTTTCATAGTGAAAGTGCAATATGAGCATTTTAAAATTATTTAATTTTTTCTAATGAAGAGCTCTTAAACAACTTTTCACTGTTGGGGATGTGAATTCTTTTATTAAACGGTTCTAAATTTGGCAGCTTATCAACATTTTGGCAATTTTAAAATCAGTTTCTATAGAAAATCTTTAATTCTGAGATCTGGGAATTTTTCGATGATTTTTTTTTAAACATTGTAACATTTCTTTAAAATAATGGTCATATATTGAAATTATATTTAAAAAAGAATTAGAATACAAGAGAAACACGCCAATGTGACAATTAAAATCGCAATAACAACCTTGTATTTAGTGTGCATATGAAAAACACTCAATCGATTTCGAGGGCAGCTAAAGGTCCCTCCTCATCAGGAGAACAAAATTACTAAAAAGGGGGAAAAGAAGAAAAATAAAGCATTGGCAAAGGAGTCTCAGAAACATGTGGTCGTTATCGGTACACACATGGTCGTAACCGGATTTTGAATCAGATTTACACTGGCCGCCTACTTTTACTGAGCCAGGCTATCTGATCAAATATATAACATATAGACTAAAATGCAAACAAATCAAATAAGTAAAAAAATAGGGAGCGAGGGATAACTGCACCTTTACGCACCAAGACTGAACCACAAATAAGACTCCTTTGCCAATGCTTTTTTTTTCTTCTTTTTTCCTTTTCTAGTAATTTCATTCTCCTGATGAGGAGGGACCTTTAGCTGCCCTCGAAATCGATTGAGTGTTTTTACATACATATGCTAAATTGTTATTGCGATTTTAATTCCTTAAAGGTACTTAATTTCCAGGTGCAGAAATGTGTATGAACACTGATAAAAGCTGTTTCTATGTCTTAAGATGAGTTACCACTTTTCCTTAATCCTTACTGTGGACTGCTGCACAAAAATGTAAAAATTAACATAAAACTTTATTTCTTGCAGCTAATGAGACTTAAAATAATATAAAACAACTCATTACTTCAGGTGCTTCAGTGGCTTATGGAACTTTGTATTAAATACTGTATATTAACTGGATTATAACTCAAGCAACTTTATGCGAAGCTATGCTGGTAGCTATGTCAATCACTTAACAAATGTGCCAACATGCCTGTTCTGATCAGCATCTCTTTCTGTTTAAGCAAGCGGCAGCATAGGTGTAAGCCAAGTTTCTGTTATGGATCTTGTTGGTTATGATTTTACTTCTCATTTTAACTTATGCCCCTTGACATAAAATCCGCATAAACTTCTGGACTGAGCGAGTACATAACAGAACAAGGCATAAAAGAAAGTGTCAACATGGTGTAAGTTAGTAAAAGTTACATGTCTCTAATTTTTTTTTAAATATGAGGGAAGTGTGAGATGTGTCTTAGTATGGTATTACAAAAGGAAGTTTGTGTATAGGTAACTGCTTCAGTTTATTCAGTTCCCTTTGCTGATTGATACTAATTTTTTTTTCATGAAATGGCCCATAAATTTCCTTAAAATAATTTCTATGTGCAGATATGTATGCAAACCACTAGTCAGGATTCCTTTTCTCTAAGAGAAGGTCTACGAACTGTGCACTGACACTGCCATGTATGGTCAGGCATTATTCTAAAGCAGTTCGATTCCATGCATATTTATTAGTTGCTTAAGGCATAATTTTCCATTCATTTGTTATACAGCTATACAATATCAAATTGATTTATCATTTTTATTGAAGGAAGGAGTCATGAATAGTAGTAGCAAAGAGCATTTGGTAAATGACACATTTAGATGCAAAGGTACCTTTGTAGTTCTACATGGAGGATCTTTCATTGCCAGCCATTGCTGTAAATACGCAAATAAAAAGTCTTAGTATAAGTCTTAGAAGATCCACTTCTTATTCACAATCACAGTTTATTGTAAGAACTTTTCATCTTTATTTCTCAAGAGAGAGGAGCTTATTTCTGAATACAATAAAAGCCCGGCTATCCTGCATTCAACTAACCAGAAAGCTGAGGTAATTGGAATATTTAAAATTTCAGAAAAATCTTCTCGCTGGGAAATTCTAATAAATGAGAGATTTTTAGTGTCATTATAATCATAATTAACACATGTACATTGTCACCAAACAGTGTGATTTATTGCCAATAATGGATAAGCATGATGTCACACCAAATTTCCCACCTTGAACATGTAGAGATGTAATACCTCAATTGACTAGGTTCCATGGTTGTCTTGATATGAGTCATTCAGTGTTTAATGCTCATTGAACAAAACAAATACAGTACAGAGTCCGAGATCTGGACTCGCCAGAACTTCTACGATTCCGGATTGAAGATTTTTCCAGATGTTAGATCACCAATTTAAATTTAGTAAGATGACATATAGAAATTACAGAATTAGAAATATGAATAATGAAGCAAATATAAATGAATTATGAAGCAATTATGACCTTAAAGAAATCAAAATTTACAAAGGGAAAAAAGCTCGGTATTTATTTCTTTGCTTTATTAAACATTTCTTTCCTTAAATTTACTTCCGTTTTTTTTTTTTTTTTTTTTTTTTTTTTTTTTTTTTTTGTGCTGATACTTCTTCTTTATTTCTATACATGGACATAATTTCTTGTTCATTTACAAAGTTCCATTGTTCAAATCCTGTAACTGCCATAGAATTCCCGCTAAATTGCCAGTCAATTTTTTCATTTTCAACAAACTCTGTTTCACTTTCTTCACTGTTGGTAGCAATATTTTCTGGATTTAGAACCATGCTACAGATTTCATTATCCATTAGCTAACTGATGATTGGAGGGCCTTGTCATTGCAATGAAAAAATTCTGATGCATCTTCTTCATTTATGACCACTTCTTGGCTTATCCAAAATTGGACCTAGATATTTTGCAGCCCAGTGCAATATCTGGAGATCTGAAATTCTTCTACCAAACACCTCCCTAAATTCTAAAGATTTTGCCATCTCTTAATTTTATTGCTTTGTGCTTCTCTAAATTCTAAAAATTTTGCCTTTCCTAAATTCTTACGCCTGGTATGGCCACACCAGCTCTGGCACCAATCCTGAACATAAATATGAGTCTACTTACCTTTGGAATTCTGCAGGAAGACATGCTTTACTTTAATGCATTATTCATCTGTTACTTCTAAATTCTCTTCCAATAATAATCTAAGGGTGTACTATGATCATCTACTCTATTTCTAGAATGTAAAATATCTTTAGCAAGTGTTTATTTGAATGCAGATTAAGAAAATTTGTATATGTATTTATCTTTTCATGTAAACCTTTTTGTAAGCGTATACTAAATGCTTAAAATTGCATTTTATTTTAGATAAATTATTTGACAAAACATAGGACACATCTAGAATTTGAAATTCATTGATTATTTGAAACTAGGACATTTATGCAATGTGTTTTACATATGGTATTTTTCATTTAAAGTTACTTTTGAACGCTGAGAATAGATTATTTGCTAAAACGTTTATCAAATTCACAAGTTATCTTTGTTTGATGGTGGGTGAGGAGGGATTCCCAATTTTAACATTGTAATTATGAAATTGAATGATTTAGTCATTTTTATGTATTTTAATTATTTATAACAAGCCTGGGTACTTTTCTGTTTCGCCGGTGCAAATCTCACCAAGCAGACTTTATTGGCAACAACATACAGTATACACATAACAAATGTTAGTTCTAAGAATTTTTTTATTTTGAAGTCATAAACATTTTAATATTGTTTAAAATTTTGTTTAAATGCCAATAAATAAATACAATAAATTTGTAAAAAGACATTAAGAATTTACTATGCTTTCATGGTTCAACATCCTGATTCACCTTTTCATATCACGTGACCTGAAGTGATCTCATCTCACATAAACTACGCTACAAAAATCTAATTCTCTCAGTAATGATCTACATTAATTTCAAGTTTAATCTTAATTTGGAATACAAGTTTAAATGTAAAAATAATTTCGATTCATATGAATAGCTTACTCAGAAATTATGTAAAACTGTAGTGCTTTACTTTGCTAGTGCATTAGCATTAGAATTGATGAATTTAACCCTTGACTTTGCCTTTTCTATATTTTCGCCTTCGGGTGAGCGGTGTGATTGCACCCTAATTGACTTAACTACTGTGAATGGCCTTAGGGCATAAAATTGAACTATCTGGTCAAAATTCTATGTAATTGTATGCCAGTATTGAAAGAAACAATCTTACAAGAAATGGCTTGTTTTGAAAATGAATGTTTTAAAAAATGTTACCAGGATATTACGTTTGGCATCAATTGTACCATTATTGGCGACTTTAATGCCTGCATCGGCAAAACAGAAAAGTACCCAAATTTGTTCTTTTCATTTGAGAAGAAATAATGTGATAAAAAATTGTATGTGGTAGTTACAGGTTTTCCGAAATAGATAATTTTTCCTTCACAAAAGCCTTGCATTCATTCATTAAATATTTATTAAATGAAGTCTTTTTATATGTATTATTTTGTGTATTATAGTTGATAAGATAAACTAGAAGGATAGTGAATTTAATTTCTAATCAAAACTAATTTTCAGTTCGAAGTGTGAAGAAAGATGAGAGAGGTTATTATGAAGAATTGCTGCGGTACAGCCGAGAACACTTGATGCTCTATCCGTATCATTTATCAGATTTTATTGTTACTCGTATGCGTGTAACACCATTTCAGTATTATATATCAATAATGCAGGTAATTACCTCTTAATCTTTATTTTATTCTAAGTAAACTTTGCTTCTGAACTATGTTAAATATTTTCATTTTGAATTTCAGGACCTTATGGAACAGGAAAAAAGCTATGATTCTCTTCCTAATTTTACTGCAGCTGATTGTTAGTAATATATTTATTTGATTATTTAATAGTAATTTATTGAATATGTAAGTAGTTTGATTTTTAATGGGCATAACAAAGTAAGGATTTTTAATACGAATAGAATGTTTTCTTTCTTCAGTGTTCTTGTTTTATTCCTTCATTGAAGAGCGTTCAACAGGATTGAAATTCTCTGACAATGGCTTACGATAATCTCTCAGCGAGCAAATAAGATCAAAATTAAATGTTAAAAATATAAAATCAAAATAAAACAGCTGTATTGTAAGCTTATATTAAAATGCAATGAACAACCACTAGCCTATTTAAATGCAAAATATCACCAAAAATGCAAATTTGTTCACGTTTTCTTTTCTAGATTTTAAATGTATCATTCACAGGAAGTTTAGTTTCTTCTGATTGGTTTTTAGTTCATTAAATTAAAAATAACACCATTATTATGCCATTTTACGTTTTAGGAAACATTTGTTTCTAGAATACGATTTAACACATTTTTTTTTTTGTAATAGTATATGATTTTGATTTATAAACTATGAAATTTTCCAACCCTTAGTTAATTTTGGTATCATTTTGAATTCACATTTACATGTTTTTATATTTTAGATCCAGATTATTATTTATTTTTTAAATTTCGTTTTTACATTTGTTTCTTCATGTGCCATGGGAGATTTAATCTATGTTTAGAGTTTTGTTGAAGTACAGCATTAGCAAGAAATAAGTTTTGCACTTCAGAGGGTTCTAGAATGCATTCTATTGGTCCAAATGAGATAAAATTTGAACTACAGATATTTAAAATGATACGCTTGACATTTATTAAATAAACAAATTTAGTACCAAATATGCCAATAGGTGGCACTGTAACACATACAATATTTAATATGCTTTGTTAAATATAAAAAAGTAGCATTGTAACTAGTTGATATGTTCCCCTTCATGTTCAACAATCTGCTCTAATCGCAGAACCATATTTTCCACAGCTGATCTCAGTGAGTCAGCCAAAATACCAAGAACATGGCGCTGAATTCCGTCCTTCAGATCTGGCACGGATGCTGGTCTTTCACAGTAGATATTGTCCTTCAGAAAACCCCAAAACCAAGTCACAGGGGTTGATATCTGGCTAACAAGGAGGCCATGCTTTTGGAAAATGCCGGCTGATCACCCATTCATCTGTGAAATGCTGCCTTAGCAATTGCTTCACGCAACGCTCAGTGTGAGAAGGTGCAGCATCCTGCATGAAAATGATATCCTGAGTGCATCCGCGCTGTTGAAGTTATGGGATTACAAAATCTCTCATCATATTACGATACCGTTGTTCTGTGACGGAACAGGTTTACATTCCATTTACAGTTATCTCTTCAAAAAAATATGGTCCAGTGATAAAGGTAGCCATAAAACCACAGCATACTCTTGTTTTTTCATGCTGCAAGGGTTGTTCCTGGATAGCATAAAGGTTTTCTGTTGCCCAAAGTCACCAGTTGTAGGTGTTAACTTGCCCATTGAGGCAAAAGTAGGCTTCATCAATCCGCAGAATGTTCCATGGCCAAGTGACGTCAAACACCATTCCAGCAAGGAACTGAAATGCAAAAGATTTATGAACCTCCAAGTCCTTGTCCTACAACAGGTGCACAGGCTTGATTTTATAGGGATAAAAATTCAAAATCCATCATAAGATTTTTTGTACAAAGGAATACACCGTATCCAACACACAGGAAACAACTGGCGCACTCACACTACCATGTGGCACTGACTGTCTTCTGGCTTCACTACTGGTGGTAGCCACATTTTCAATGCTTGAAGTCTGGATTTCCTTTCGTCCTCTACCTGGAAGATTGCCAAGTTGCCCAGTTGTTTCAAATCTATCATATTGCATAGGGCACATGAAGACATTGGAAATCTTCGCATCTGCTTCATACAATGGAATTCTTTTACAGCTGCACAGGAGTTCTGTTGGTTCTAGTAGAGCAATTCTACCATTAGCACTTTCACTTGCAACATAGGCATGATGTGCAGAGAAGTAACTAATGCTCATGCAGACTCCACTTTCTTTTTATCCAAAGAATAATGCATTTAGGCATGCACTGTAACACAAGTGATGTTTCATATTTTCAATTTATACAAATAAATACCATTTTGTGTTACAGTCCCACTTATCAGTGGATTTTTATACTACAAATTTTTATTTAATAAATGTCAAGTGCATCATTTGAATTATCTATAGTTCAAAGTTTATCTCATTTGGACCAATAGAACACATTCTAGAGCCCTCTGAAGTGGGAAACTTATTTCTTGTTAACCCTGTATTTCTATTTATTTTAAATTCCAAACATTTCTGTTTTTATCTGCTTTTATGACATTTTGAGATTTCTTAGTTCTAACATTGGGCAGCATGAGTCTTTTAGTTGAAGTAGACAATAGAATGTTTCATGGCTAAGCTGTTTTTGATAAAAGCTAAAGATGTTGTATTCTTAGAAAAATCAATGATGGTACCAAAGTCTGGTTTCTTTCCCATGCAATTATTAGTATTGTATTAATGAATAGATGTATGACTGTGAGATGTATTAGAATATTATTCTTTCTGTTTTAAAGTGTACTTGTATTACAGGTCTTAGACTTCTTGGTATTGGAAGAAATCAATATATAGAGCTCATGAATCAGTGTCGATCATCAAAGGTTCACATCTTTTTTTTTTTTTACTTTCATAGATAAGTGCTTGAAGTGATTATACATATAGACTTTGTTATCCCTGCAGTGTTCCTAAAATTTTTAGCATTTACTTATGATTTATCTTGACTTGTATGCGTATACTCACTTTGAAGAAAGAGGGAAACAAAAAATATTATAATAATGAACTAAGTACTTAAATATGTATATTAACTGATAATTAATAATTTAAGATAAATATTAACATTTATACAACAAGGTAAAATTAACTTTTCGCTGCAGATCAAAAATAGTCTCTTGATCCACACTTTGAGAACTGCTGATATAAAAGATTAGTGCTTGATTTGTTCATAACCAAAGTACATTCTTTAAATTTTCTATGTAATTGCTTCTTAGGAAAACTAGATTTTGCTTGTTGTGAAAACATTTTTGCCATCAATTGTAAAGTATCAGTGTGTTCTAGCTGAAAAGATTAGTTTCAGAATCTGGGATGCTAGGTGGATTTTATTGCAATAAAGGCTGTATTTCTGTAAGATAAGTTCACATACTTTTTGTATTGACGCCTACAATATGTATATGTAATAATTTGGAATGGTACTAATATTCAAATCTTAATAATTTCAGTATAATAACTTGAAAAGTTGTTGATGGTGCAGCTGCTGAAACATGTATAAAAATTCTTGAATTAAGGATGATACATTGCAGATGCAGAATGAAGTCAGAGCCATGACCGAATTAACGATATTTCCTTTTTATTTATAGTTGATGAGCATATTCATAATAAACCAACATAAATGAAATTGCTACAGTAAGTAGGCCTGTTTAAGGCTTTTTACATTTCTGTAGAGAACTGGCATTACCAGGTCTAATGAACAGAGGAAGCTGGAAGCAAATGCGATGTGTTCAAAAAAAAAAAAAAAAAAAAAAAAACTGATGTCAACACCACATAACTTCCTTGTATGGCCTATTTAACTATTCATAGCTTTTGCTGCACTTCATTTAAATTTATTTCCTCGAATTATTCTAACTTAAATTAACCAATCCGTCAAGACAAGCTGAAAATGATAAAAATAGTTGCAAATTTTGAAATTAAATATCCCAGTCAGTTTTAGCCATATGGGAGTCAAACTTTTTGTAGTTTTATTTTTTTCATAATGAGTGTAAAACTTTTCCAAATATAAGTATAAGAACCGGCAGACTGCATTAAAAGTTAAATCTCATTATCTGTTGAAAATTGATTTTTTTTTTTTTTTTTTTTTAATTTGACATTTCCCAAACATGAATATGTTCATCATTTAAAAAACTTTTGTAGTGGAAAATATATAACTACAGCCAATGAGTGCAAAAGTAGAGGCCGTGTAAGTGGAGTGGGTGTATATATATGTATATATGTCATATTTTTCATGCGTAGAAGACACTGAATCTTTTAACAGCTTTCAATATCCATCTTGGCTCATTTTTAAGGCTTACACATGAAGATAACAAAACTGAATGTCAACAAATCGCCAATCTTTTATTTTCGTACATGTCCAATAAGTTTGCCAGACACTTATTCAATCATAATTGAATAGGCTAACTTGCTATGTACTTTTTTTTTTTTTTTTTTACGAAATGATGTGTTATGTGAGACAGGAAAGCAAAGCAGTGTGGATGTCGATGTAGTGGAAGCTAGGGAAAGGGAGAATGACATAGTTTATATGCAAGCGATATTTAAACTAAGTACACACAGAAAGTACTCTAAGCTGTGATTGGTTAATTTTAGTTTGTTATATAATCATGGAAGGATCTCGAATTTGGGGGAACAGATAAATTTAGGGGAGAGCACCAAATCTAGGATCGTTAATTTTGAGGTCGCTATTATTCTTGAAGCAGCTATCATATTTTCTTATATCTTACATATTTCCCCTTCAAAAGAAAGGGGAGAGCAGGGTGGCAGAAAAGCATTAGTAAATTAGTGAAGCAAGAGAAAGTTTATTATATTAGGAAAGACATGAGGAAGCATTAAGGACATAGCCTGCAGGTTTTCCTATGCCCCGTCATGATTCATCACTTTTCTCATATACAAATTGCAAAATACTTAACAGATAATTTACAAATAATGTAATTTCTGAAGAAACTAAACAATTAGTTAATATGAATATAATTTTTAAAGTCCTCAAGTTGCTAAAATGTCTAATGTCCTTTGAATGTCCAATGAAAATTTTTTGTAAAGTCTCTTCATGAAAAAAATTCCACAGGTAAATGTTCAAATAAGATAATAATACTCAAAGTAAATGTTCATTAAAAAGCCTTTCAAACTTTTGTGGATGAAAATATTTGTGATACAGATTGAGTTGTCAACTTTTATGTAGAAATATAATACTCTATTTGTGATTAATTGAATAAGTTCTTCTTATTGAGGATACACATACTTAATACCACAGAAAACTCAATATAAAAATATAATAATATAAGGCAATACTAAATAAGATAATAATACTTTGACGATTAATTTGGCATGTCCTCTGCAACAAAATCAGGGTACTAACTTGCTAGTGATTGGGGGATGCTTAAGTACAATATATCACAAAACCTCCATTCCTTAGAAAAGTAACTGGTTTTTGGCATTGTACAATTATCAAAGTTTTTCTGTTTTCTTTCAAAAATTTTCCATATTACTTAATACAACATTATACAAAATTATGACTGAAATTTAAGACAAATAACTTGTATAATCAAGTTAGTCTTTTCAAATTTTTGCAAAAATATAATTAAATATTACCCTACAATAAGACGAAAGAAAAAGGAAAATTTTGTTTTAAAATTAATGTGTGTGTGTGGGGAAGTAGCACGTCTGTGCCAAACTATGGTCACAGGATTGTGACTGGGGGAAAAAAATAGAAAAACCCAAGTCAGTCTCATAGCCATAGTTGCATCTCCTAACAGATAAAAGATGAAAAATTGTAGGGGGTGTTAGGAATGTTCCTAGGGGGGGCAGTGGGTGTGTTCTATCACTTCTTATATCTTCTCTAGAGAGAGAGAAGATGCAAGGAGTAAAACCTCATGTCAGAAAAAAGAATAAAAACATTCGTCTTTGAATGAAAATCTGCTATTGGTTCCAGATTTTTCAAAACATGGTTTTACGCTTATTATGAAAGACACACACACCCATACATGCTCTGTGTATGGGTAAGTCTTTACATGGCTTTTATTTTCCCAACCATTCGTCATAGACTTCCAATTACAAAAATGTTTCAAATGATGTAAAGATTCATCTTTTGGCACTTTTAAATTTAAGACTATCAATTCTATAAAAAATACAAAATCTAACTTTTTAATCACTGTACCAAGCCAGGTACTTACATATAGGAAATTTTTTTCTAATTATAGAAAATAAAATACAAAATGATTGATTCCCATAAGATAAAAATTGACCTAAGTAAGGGCCATACACATATTAAAGCATGAAATTTTTGCATTTGTAGGTAACCAAAAAGAAAATACCAGTTTTGAGAAAAGGTTTCTGATGTTAACAGATAAAGTGATGAAAATTTTTCTTCAGATTGTTGTGAAAGGTATTGACCTTGGCCCGAGTGGTTTAAACCATTAAGTGGTGGTAGTTTCTCCTGTGGTTTGAGTCCAGTCAAATTGTCTGGCTGCATGGTTGGATTTGTGCTTTTTTGCATGTATAATACAAGTCAGTTTCCTACAGATAGTCCTCTGCAAAGCATCACTTCCCTTAGAAAGAGTGCTGTCATGTGTTTTTCATATTCAACTAAACTAACCAAACCTTTTCAAGAAATACTTCTTATCCATAGAATGTATGTTTAAAAAAAATTGGCGAGCTTCAATATTGATCCATAGCCAACTCAACATTATTTACCTGTATTAAAAATTAAAATAATTTCTAACTTTAAGAATTTTTTTTTTAAAGACAATGAAGCTAAAGTAATAAAACATCACTAGACTATTCGTAATATGTAGAGTATCCATAATTAAACTCGAAATTTGTGAGCAGTCTGTAGCAAAAACTATACAACGGAATTGTATGAAAATTGGGTAATGGCAGAATGAAATGATGGGAATTTTATCGAGAGAAAAAAACGAGTTTCAAACCTACCCCTAGGTGGTGTATCATAACTTTATTGAGAACATGTAAATAATCTGAAAGTTTACAAAACATGTTTAGTACGATGTCCACCATTGTGTGCTACCATCTGGAAGCGTAAAATTGCATGTTCGACTGTTGAAAGCAGCATAAACTGGGGAATGTTAAGCACATGGCATTCTATGCTTTCTTTAATGTTGGATAGAGAGGTGGAGGGATCATGGTAGATCATGGCCTTGAAGTATCGCCACAGCCAAATGTTGCAAAGATTCAAGTCTGGAGATCTATTGCCGGCTGATGATTCTGTCATCAAAATGGTGGCAGAGCACTTGTTTCACACAATGGGCAATGTGTGGAGGAGCACCATCCTGCATAAACACTGTGGTTGTATCACATTGCTTTACCTGAAGAGATGGAAAAATGGATTGCTCTAATAATGAAGCATATCATTGACCAGTGATGGTGCATGTCACAGGCCCTGTGGCGCCCACAATGAAGTTTGCAGTAAAGTTGCACCAAACCATTACATGCAAAGAGTGTAATGGAATTTGTAGGAATTGATGTGGGTTTGTAGCATTCTGAATACGGCAACTGTGTGTGTTAACCACATCTTTCATATGAAACTGGGCCTCGTTGATCCACAATATGTTCCAGGTCCATTCATCCTGGAGCTCACCTTGCTCAAGAAACTGCAATGCAAAAGTTTGTCAACTATCTAGATCAGCTGGTAAGAGCTGCTGTACTAGTGACAGTTAATAGGGATAGTAGCATAAGACCTTTTGAAGAATCTTATGAACCGTGGAACGAGGTTGGTCAACAGATGCTGCAATACACTAGTGCTGCTGATGGTTTACGATCTGTCTTCCTCCACTTGCTTCGCTTCATCATCCACTACCTGTGCTGCAACACACTTCCATCTCTTTCCTGGCTGAATCCCCAAAGTTCCCGTTGCTTCAAATTTCCTAATCATGTTTGTTAGTCCTTGACTAGTGACTGGACCTTTTCATAACCACTTCAAAGATCGAAATTTCCACAAAGCTTCGGTAGCAGAGTTTCCATTTTGGTAAAACAATTTCATCAGTAAAGCACGTTCCTGGAGAATCAACGTCATCTTCCTTCACTTGGAAATGAGTATGACTGCGGTTTGCCTCTTGCAGCTTTATCAGGTTGCTCTGCGCGCATATGATTACTATGGTTACATTTGCATACATCAATAGTTTACATTGCACAATGCCATCTAGTGATGGTTTTTGAAATTTGCTGTTCCCCTCCCTCAATAAAATTCTCATCATTTCATTCTGCCATTACTCAATTTTCATATAATTTTGCTGCACAGATTTTGCTAAAGAATGCTCACAAATTTCAAGTTTAATTATGGACAGCCTGTATATTTAGTGCTTGAAAACTCCTAAATTACTAGTGTGAAAATTCTTCTAATGACCAATTGTAATAAAATTATAAATTAAACAATGTTGCACATCAAATAAATCACAAAAGAATATCACTGAATGGCATTTAAGCCTCCCAAAAAGATCAGCTTCCAATTATTCTAAATATATATAAACTAACATTTCAAGGCAACCTGGAAACGATGTCAAATATCTCAAATTTTGAAATTAGTTATCTTTATCAGTTTTGAGAGGTGGTAAAATTTTCCTAAATATAAGTGTATAGGGACTGGAAAATCATATCAAAAGTTAAGATTTCATAATTTTTATACCAAGCCATTAAACATGCCAAAACATGAATCTTCATATTATTTAAAAAATTTTTTAATTGAAAGTACAGCCCAACCCCACTATAAAAACTTCGAGACCTGAAGTTTGTTTGTTGTGTCCTTAGATTTGGTACATCTGATTCAGGGCAAAAAAACGTATTAACTCGCAAAAACATGTAGAAGGTGAACGAATAATAAAGGGGGGGGGAACTGAGTAATATCTACCAAAAGAAGTGAATAATATGTATAAATAAAAACAAATCATTAAGATTTAATTACAATTATTGTCATGTACAGATGTTAAATTTTATGTTCATTTTTTTTTTTTTTTTCTAGTCTCTTCAAAAGGTCTTGGAAATACATTGGCTTTTGTTTGAAGCATTTGCCCAGATATTGGCACAGTATGCCTTTTCAGAATGGCAAACCATTTCAGCAGTGCTGAACCATTTCAGCAGTGCTTTCTCAACATTTTCCTCATCCGAATTTTTCCATGAGCAAAAAATGTAGTTTTGGTTTTTTTCATATATTTTTTTTATATTGATTTTTTCATACAGTACCAAATATAGATTTGGATTAACTGTATTTCTGGGAGATACTGATTTGGTTGCATCTGTTATGCATTTTTTAATAGTAATCATCTTATAATCATTGCAGAAGCTCTTTGTTTACAGTAGATGAATTTTTGACCTGGATACAGAATGCAGACAACTTAGTCAAGGAATATGTAAGAGTTTTGCTTTTCTGGAAAAAAATGCAGGTGGAAGATAATTTCATCACCTACATACCTTATCCAAAGTCTGGGGAGAGCACAATTATTCTCCCCTAGATAGGTAAAGTTGCAATGCAGAGATTCAATAACAATTACAAACAATTGTGTATATCTTGTGAAAGATGTAATGAGTGCAAAATACCTATTCTTAGGCTAGACTTGTGAGAGTATTTATACTCAAATAAGATACCTATAAGGATAAAAAATTTTCATTCTTTAAAAGAAGAATTAACTGTAAGTAAGCCTTTTCCCCAGAATAGCAAAAATTTCAAAATATCCATTATAGCATCGGCCTTGAATAGAGGTCTGTCTGGTAGCTGTCAGTGAATTTGAATAGAATCAGAGAATCCATTCATGGTTTAATGGTCATGTACACCATATGGTGTCCTAAGATATGCTTATTGAATCCCTGTTCTAGAGTTTGTAGTCACACCTCTCCCAGTTAGCCTGTGTTTAGAAAAGTAGGGGGAGATGATAAAAGTGATGTAAATGTTTTTCTTTACTGATGGAACGTGGATCATAATATCCTATACATGGATGATTTTGATAGTTAGTAAATTTTCTGTGTATACTTGCAGAAATCCTGGAAAAACTTAATAAAAGTGTAAATGAGTTTCAGTTGAAGATATATATTCAAGTCGTTATATCCAATTTTTGTACTCTTGGAGATTTGCTTTAAAAGTATGAAATAACATTAAGTGCATAGAAAATTGGGGGGGGGGTCTAAAGTTCATTCATTATGAGCCAGGTACTTATAGCGTGGTTTATTTTAGTAGGTTTAGTAGGTATCAACAGTTGCAAAAATGAAGACCATTTATATGTAATCTTCTTGATAGCTGGGTGTATTGATTCAGTAATGGAATAAATGTGGCAGTATTGGTGAAGATTGAGAATTGAGAGGAAATATAAATAAAATTATTGAGTAATGGGCATTCACAGTTTAAGTATCAGAATTGCCAAATTGAAATTGCGATCCATATATAAAATTCAGTTTCCTAACCAAATTGGCATTACAATTATGCCATATTACATGCTTATTTTGTCATCGTCTGCAACTAAAAGCTTTTAATGCATTTTTAGCTCAAACCATGGCTATATAAATCTTAAAAAAAGTAATGTGACTATTTACCTGTGTGTATTAACTGATAAGCATTTTTTTAAACTTATTTAGAAATTTTTTGGCGTTCGTCGAAAGCCTATCAGGGAATTGCTACCAGCAAAGCCAGTTGTAATGTTAGTCATCGAGCCTTGGTGGGTGGTTTTTGTTGGCTATGTGACTGAAGATGATATAAAGGTATTTTTTATTGAATTTGAAGGGTTTGTATATGACTAAAATATTTAGCTTTTTGCATGTAAGAATTTTTTAGTATACTTGACCAGCAATTCCAAGAGGTTTTTGGTGCAGTACTTTTAAAATTTTACATGCTTTTCAAGCCAAAGTTATGATAGATTATTTTAATTTTTCTTTTGCTAATCATCTTTTTATCATATTTTACAGAATTTATTCGTTATCATTATTACAGTCAGAAGTCTTTAATCCGGACTCGTCAGGACTTCAGCGATTCCGGATTATATATAGATCATCAGTTTAAATCTGGTAAGATGGCATGCAGAAATTATAAAATTAAAAATATGAAACCGTAATTTATAGCAATTATGATCTAAAGGGTATCAAAATTTACAAAAAAGGAAGCTTAATATTTATTTGTTTACTTTAAAACATTTCTTTCAACGCGCGCATGCATAAAGCATACATTACGCATAGCCGAAATTAGAAAATTGTAGCCAGAATTGCAGCCAGAACTATTTGATTTGTATTCGTGATATTTATAAAGACGAAGAATTTGATTTAAATCATATCAAAGACGGAGTTCATCGAGATGAAATACTACATTTAGTAAAGAATTATAAGCCGAATAAAATAAAAACATCTGCCCTGAAGATAACGATAGTGCTGACAGATCAACTTCCAGTTCATTGAGCGCTACGACGTACCCCCCCTCCCCCGCGCACAGAGCAGCGTGAAATTGATAAACAGATTTCGGAACGGTTAGATAAATAAAGGATATGCCTTTATCCATTTTCTGTAGCAATTCCACTTTTTGTTTGATGGACATCGAAACATACTTTCGTTTTGTAGATCCTTTGGGAGCTCCAGCATCGGAAATTCTATTTGACATAATCAAAAGTTCAAGCTTACTTTTATCAAATTGCTCTTACAGTCTGCAAGAGATAATAAGCCGGATCCAATTCGAAGATTAAGGAACAACGCAATCATCAACATTAACTGAAATAGATAATTTTAGCTTATACCGTCCGTTATACATTAAATGCGCACGCGAAAATGTATTCTGCGCTTGCGCAGTCGTAAAGGTCTTGTGCGCACACGTAAACGCCTATGCGCGTGCGTCAACGCAGTGCATGCGCAGAAAGATTTTAGCTTTGAGGTCCGGATTATAGATCGTTCCGGATTATGGGTGTCTGAATTAACGACTTTTGACTGTATTCTTAAAATTATGCCGACAAATTTAGCATCTGATACAAAACTCAAAATTGTACTGTCATAGTATTATTTACTTCATTAATTTTTATGCCATCCCTTGTCATTCTTTAAGGCAAAATTTCCATTTGCTATACATTTTGTACAGCTGTGTTTTTTGTAATTTTCAATTTCTTTCATTTTGACCTCATATGCCACCACTGTTTTCAGTACTAGAATAATTTTATTTATATTATATTACAGTTCTGCATGCGGGGGGGGGGGAACCACCATTGATTAAAAAATAATCCGATCATTTCCAAATTTTTTATGCCAGTATTTTCATACCAAGTATGCAAATGATTAAATTTTCAAAGCCAATAAGTGTTAAGTTCGATCATAGGCCATGTTTCTATTGTGCATTTAGCATCGTATAAAATAGGTAAGAATTGCAAATGGTTTATATTTGTTTTCTCGTTGTCAGTATTGCAGTTCTCTGGAAACAGAACCAATAATGCCATTACAGCCAACTGGATGACTTTGAACGTGGTTGCCTAATAGGGATGCATTAAATGGCTGGTCATGCTGAGCAGTAGTCTGCTACCTGCACCATACAGATACAGCTATGCAAAGGTGCTGGCAACAGTGGTTGCTTCATTGGTGAAATCAAGGCTGTGGAAGGTGAATATGCACAAATGCAAGGCAAGATTAGATTATTGTGTGACAGGTCTGAACTGAACCAATGGCATCGTCTGCTATCCATCATGCTACAACATCTTCCATACAATCCAGGACACCACCCACCATCTCAATGATGCTCGGCTAAGGTAAGGTTGTGCTCACACAGCCTTTAAGATGTCTATCTTAACCCCACAACATGGACAAAATTGTTGCAGTGGTGGTGATGCTGATCATCATTGCTTTAGCCAACTGGCATTCTCATTGGTCAGTGATGAATCCTTCTTCAGTCTTGGAGCAGATAACCATTGGGTCAGCATGTAGAGGGGCCTGGGCCAGCAGTTCTGATTTTTTGATTTACAGAGGCACACAAATATTGCCCCTTATGTGATGGTATAAGGTGCTATATCTTATGACAGCTGATTAACCCTAGTAATCCTGCATACAACTTTAATTGCTCAACCGTATGTTGATGATATCCTGTGGCCATTTTTATAACATTTCATAGCATGTCTTCCTGGAGCTATTTTCCAATAGTATAATGCTAGACTTCATGAAGCTTGCATTTTTGTGGGTTTTCTTCGAGCTATTGATACTCTTCCTTGGCCAGCAAGGTCAGCAGACCTTTTGCCAATCAATAATATATTGGATATGGTAGGCTGCCAGATTTGGTTACCCAAGAATGTCAGATCTGGAGCAACAACTGAGGAATGAATGGCAGAATGTATCGTAGGGTGAGATTAGGAATCTGTCACTCCTTACTTCAGTGGTTATGAGCATGCATTGCTGCCAGGGGATTTTACCATCTACAGATTTGAATATTCACTCTGGAGTTCACTGATGGATCCAATGTCCTTGAATTTTTAATCATCCCATTACGTATGTATGAGCTTTATGCATATTTAACAATAAAAACAGTCACTTTCTTCATGGCTCATTTTTTTTTGGGGGGGAAGGGGCCAAAAGAGTGTATATGAACTTTGTAACAGAGCTTATCTTTGGAGTCCCCAATCACCAGATTAGACAAACATTACTTTGAATTTCCATGATAAAAAAAGTATTTATTTATTTATTTTTGCGAGCTGCAGGTTTGTGTATGCCATTTTAAATAATCATCCCAGATGAGCAAGAAGAAATACAGAATTCACTGTAACTGATAATAATATATAACAAAATAAATAAAAACAAATAACTCGAAGAAAATGCAGATGATGGGCGGCAAATCCTCCTAAATACAATAGAAATATCATAAAAGACTGATATCACTTACATAATAAATTCTGAAATACAATTCAGCTAATGCTTTGAACAGTAAGTACTCAATACTGATTAACAACTGATTGCTGCTTGCTGTTGAAGCTATATTTATATAGTATTGCACAGGCTTGTAGATGTTTCAGAAAAAAAATTGCTCCTGAAGCTTTAAAAATGTGTTCCCCCCTAAACTTCCAGAATGTCTCCAGGTTGGCGAGAAATCACTGTCATAACTTGTTATTCCCAAAGCCCATCAGAAGGATTTTTACCCAAATCTTGTGTTCTAATTCAACTATTTTCATATTTTAAATATAATTGGCTTCAGTATTGCATTACAAAATCTGCAGTTCTATACATGAAATAAGTGCTCATAAGCAAATATGTGGCTACTTAGTTACTGTAAATTAAATTTTAAAATATATCGCTCTAAAAGCTACAGTTAAACAAATAACTAAGTGAAACAACGCAGAAAAGTAACAATAGAATTGAAAATGAATTATTTACAGAAATTTACAGCAATATCAAAACACTATATTTTTATTTTAGAAGAAAGAATATTTTTTATACAGACCACAATGCCGTCAATCTCTTAATAACAAAACGAGGTCTTGTCTCCCATTTGGACAAATTCCTTGTTGAAATTTAGGATTCTGGTATAGCATTTTGAACTCTGTTATTTGGTAAGTTTAATCTGTTATTTGGTATGTACAACATGGTAAAATAAGGAAGGTTTTGAAATTTCATGTAAGCATGAGTCGTATGGTTGGAAAGGGCAAATTGATAAATATTGCATTACTAATATCTGATGACTATTTGTTCATTTTCTCTATTGTCAAAATTGTGCTTCTAAAAGATTTCTCTGGAAAACTGTGCAGCCATCAGAATCTCTTGATTTTAATTATGAATTTTCTTTAAGTGCTGACTGTTGATTAGATTTTTATTGACTTTATTGTATGAAATTTTTCTTTTTTCTCTTCAGAAACAATATTGAATGTATGGCATTAAAAACCTTGTGCTTGTATTGGGAAATTTTATTACTGAAGAATAGGATCATGTTTTCCCCTTTTTCTGTAGAAATTATTTCAGTTTATTTGTATTATTAAAAAACTGCACACACCCCCTCCCAATGGCAGACCCTCAGCCACCTTTGGCTTGGCCACTACTAATTGGAAAATTTCATATAAGCTTTCAGATTTTTTAATCCATTCTATCACTAATTGAGGTTCTGTCAATTGAACTTTGTGGTGAACTGATTTAAACGATGCATTATGCCCAGCTCGAAAATTTTTAACAAGCCATTTGAAGCTTTTAAGTCTGATAGCTCTGATTAAGGTTTATATCCAGCTTTTTGTTGCAACAAAGGCTCATTTAAAATAACATTGTTTACATGTGTGCTACAAAACAAACCAAAGACAGTTATTTAAGTATAATCATTTCACTGCTTTTGCATTTTCATTACTGTGGCAAATTAAATTTTTCCCAATTCTTTTGTTTTTGCATAGTTTCCCAGTAGTGTTTTACCATTTAAAAATTTTTTTGAATTTTTTGTAAAGTGTTTTCTCATTACCTCCCCTACAGCTTAAATAACTTTAGTTTGTGTAGACTGGAATTCATGTTAAGAATTCTATGCTTAAAAGTAGCAGAAGAACACAAAACACTCTCATCATTGTAATAGCTTTTCATAGAACTTTCACTGAAGAAAAGGTTAGAAATTCGTTTTTGGAAACTTTTAGGTATTCACCTTTGCATTACCAACAGCTCATGCAAGATTTTGGTATTAATTGCACTATCATTTAACAACCCTCTTCAAGGTTAAAATTTCTTAAAACTTCTAGCCTCCTGAATTCGATACTTTTTTTTCTGAACAAATGTGTTACAAGTGCTGCTTATTATTTTTATTACTTTTTCTGAAGCTTTTTTTTTTTTAAATTTATAAAAATTATAAACCTCTATGGAAGTTTTTTACAGAGATTTCTGCTGTTGGAGGTATCAGTAAATGGATGTTGAAATACACTGACGTCGTGTTTTTAAGGTCTGTCAAAATCAACCTTCCATTACCACTCTCATTTTGCAATCCCTTGGGTATTTCAAATTTTTCTTACCCTTACTGTCCTGAATTCCATGCTTCCTTATTGAAACAAATGTGTGAGAGACAAAGACTTTCTTTTATTTGTACTTTTATTTTTGATCTTTAGTCTAAAATAGCTAGTCTCTGAAAAACTTCAGATGTACACTTTTTCCTGTTTACAGCCAGAAGTTAAAGGTAGTAGAATACGTTGATGCCCACTTCAAGGGTCCAGAGATTAAGAACTTTCCATTAAAAGGGAATAACCACAAAAGTGTGTTCCTCATTTATTAGCAGTTTAACTACATGCATATTTTTGGAGCCAAATCTGCTAAATCTTTAGTCTGCCCCTTATGGAGATCAGGGCAAAGCTACAAAATGACAATAATTTGTAAAAAAAAAACAGTAGAGAAATTTATGATTAAAATTTTTATTTATTGTTTCAATATTGATTATTACCGGCTTTGTTATGTGTTGATTTCAGTTTAATTTTCTTAAAAGCTTCTCAATTTTCAATTTTTTGGTCATCATAGATTATGATTCAACATTAACAGTATTCATTTACTTTTTCGCAACTGTTGTTCTAGGCATATTTATTCCAGAAATGTTTTAAATAATGCAAATCTTTATTTCTGGCATTTTTTTACTTGAAAAATATAATTTTGTAAGAATTACAATATAACTTTCTTACATTATTGTTCCCTGTTTAGTAAAATATTTTAAAGATTTGAAGACATAAAACGCAAAATGTAGCACTCCTGTACAGCAAAAACTGACCAAGAGGAAAACTTGAATGAGAAAAACTTGACCTGAATTTTAAGTTTTGGGATTTTTATGCATTTTGCAGTGACAGAAAATCAAACTCATCACCCTCTATGAGGGGTTGGTTAAAAATAAATCAGAATTGTATTTGAGATTGATGTTTTTCCATTCAAAGGTATCCTTTGGGGTTTAATTGTGTTTAAAATTCCGTAATTTATAATTTTGTTACATTTGGTATGCCGAAAGCATTTTTGTAGTAATTTATTAAGTTTTTAAATGCTAAATTTAGGATAAATGCTGTTTTATTACTTTAGGATCATATTCTAATAGTCATGCCGAAAGGTCATCTAACTTATTCATTAGCTAATATTATTTTTTATTTATGCAATTAATATTATGTACTGTGTGTAAGCTAATATTAGAAGCTTGCTACTATTTTCTAAACTTTGAATTCCATGAGTGTATGTAAATAAGATTTCCTTTACGGGGAAAAAAAAATAATTGTATTGATCAAAACTTTCCAGTCTGCTCATTAATGTTCATTACTTAATCTATTGACATCGAAAAATGTTCACTAAACTGATACTTCATACTTACTTAATTCAAATTTATATGCATTCTGCCACAAAACAATATATGCACCCAGAAGGAAACTAACTACTATCGTGAAATTTAACTTGTATGTAGTGTGAAGAGGTAAACAAACGATTACAAATTCTGAGCAAAAGATCCTTTTATTAAAAAGTCATAGCATAAAATCAAATCATGTAGATCACCTATGACCCCCTGCAGAAGATCATGCCATAATCTTTGCAACTGGGTATTTAATTCACCAATATTCTGGGATGGCTGCAGTGTCCTTCCAAGCATGTCCCAAATGTTATCTATTAGTGAAGTCTAGTGACCTGTCAGGCCACAGGAGTACATCATATCCTTCAAGACATTGTTAGGAGACTCGCACAGTATGTGGATGAGTGTTGTCTTGCTGATAAACGGGACCTGGGCACCTTGATAGCATAGGCAATACAACCAACATTAAAATCTGGTCCACATAACTGCAAGCCATCATAGTGCCTTGAAAAACGACTAGAGGTGATCGTGTGTCTCAACAAATTGCCCTCCATACTGTCGCATCTTATGTAATCTCTGCATGCTGCGCGACAACAAATGCCGGATCAAACTGGATGTGGGGTCAGTGGTAGGTGTTTTAATGTATGTAGGCAGCATATACCAGTATTGGTCAGCTATCTCTGAATGATTTCCCTTGATATCACTGGATGCTTGGAAGGTGGTAAGTGGCATCAAATCAATGGTAGCAATGTTCTTAATGTGGAAGTATCTGCTGTTATGATTGTATGATTCGTATGCTCATGTGTGTTCTTGGGACACCCTGACCCTCCGCGATGATAGACTATCCCATCCGTGATCCATTGTTGCCAACGCTGAGCAGCTGCTATATCACCCCGACTAAGGTGGGCAATATGTCTGTTCGACCAACCTGCTTCTCTGAGACTTACTATATGCCCCTTCTCATAGTCCAACAACTGTTCATATTGCCACTGTTTATGTCTCATATTCATCTCTAGTCACAATACTGTCCATCCAAGTAGACAAACTTGTTTGAATAGTCCTATGGCATGAGCAGTCATGCTTTTAAACTCTCCCAGCTGTGCATATTATATGAGATGCATTGCCTTGTCTCATTGACTTCGAAATTTAAATCATTTGCATATCTCTTACCAGACTACATTCCTGCTGAGTTTCGTGATTGTGGCTTGATTTATTCTGGGTGCATATATTTCTTTGTCAGAGAGTGTATTTTACATGTTAATTTCTGTACATTTTAGAAATTTGCAGAACATTTAATCAGAAACTTTAAAATTTAATATTTCAGTCAGTTTTTTCATATGAGCATCAAACTTTCATGTTTTATTTTTTAGAATAATTATAAACTCTTAATAAATGTAAATATAGGAAGTGGAACAGTTCAAAATTTTAGATTTTTTCACTTTCGCCAGATTGATTTTAAAAATTTAAAAATGTCAAAATATGAATATTTGTATTATTTAAAACACTTTTATTACTGGAAGTATATGTCTGTGGCAAAGGGCTGTGAAATTAAAGCCAGATGTCTGTTATGTACATAATGTCTATAGTATATTATGTTTGTATTCAGTTCACAAGTATATTAAAAAAAAACACCTAAGTTTAGCTAAATTTTGAATTGAAACTGTCCCAGTTTGAAGGTATCAGACACAGGCTGAGGTATTTCTATTGCAGAGAAAAAAGTCTTTGTGGCTTTTGGAATTCATCATCATTTGAATCTTGATGAAAAGGGACCCTACGTCTGATAGTCCTCGATGTCAGTACAGTTTTTCTTTTTCAAAATCTGTACTAAACTAAGGTTGCTTTTTTTGTCTAATTTTATATGGGCTTTTTCTTTCCTTCCAATTTCACTGCTGTGTACTGTAAAATAAGACAAGAAATGAAACTCAGGTTGTTTTTCTTGAATTGAGAAACTGAATGCTGAATATTTTTATTCATTGAAGGAGAGAGACTCTGTACTTATCTACTTGGAAATGCATAGTTTGCTATACAATCTATGTCAGTTTTAGAATGATTTTTGCATAGTATTAAATTTGATAACGGCATGCTTCTGTTCCTGTATATAATCATGTAATTAATAATATGATGATGAATCATATTTGTATGTATATGTATATTTTTCAGTCCAATATTATATATATATATATATATATATATATATAAATTTTTTTCATATCACTGTTGAAAAACATTTCCATAATTAAGATTCAAAAATTAAATTGCAATATTTAAATGAATTATATTACAGATTATTCCTGAAAGTGAGAAGTGTATTATTGATAAGATTATTGATGATGGAGCACAAAGAGCTGGAGATCTTAATGCCAAGGATGTTAAAGGTATGTAAAATAATTATAGTGCCTTTTTCATTTTTACTTAACTCCACACATGATGTTTCATTCCATTCTTTTAAACTGCCATCCTTTGCAGGTGTTCAAACACTGCATGGTTGTTCCCCTTAAATGGTTCATTCCAGTTTAAAAAATGTTTCGAATAAGGTACACTATTGGACAGTAACATTTGTACCTGACATCTTTTAGTAAAAGTGTATGGAATTAAAATTTTATATGGATTTTCTGCAAAGAAAGTGCAGCAAAAGCCCGACTATCCGGACTTAAAAGTTCATGAGATTCTTTTACAGAACTTTGAGTCATAGATATATGTCTTACATAAACTTATTTCACTAATGAAGGAGTCAATAAATTTAAGCTTTAGCACTGCTCCAAAATGGTAGATGTAATTTGCATATGATATATGTCAAAGTCTGAATGGAAACTTTTGGGTAATATTGAAGAAATTAATTTTCCAGTAGGTTTTTATCAGGAAAACTCTCTAATTGGAAGAATATATCTGATTGAGAAATCAAACTAATAAAAAAGTATGTCTGAAAAGCAACCAGCTTTTCACTGGCATGGAAAATTGCATGTGTATTAGATTAAACAAAAATTAGTGCAAATGATGCTATGATGTGAAGCATTGGCATAAGTTACATATGGAAAACTCAATTTTCTTTTCTTTTAAAGTAAACATATGTTAGCCAATTATAATTTTTTTAAATAGAACTTAATGAGCTAGTTTTATTGCATTACCCTTTATAAACTGCAGAAATGTGAATTTTTTGTTTCAACAGGGCTTTATAGAAGAGGTCTTATATACTTAGATGTCCCAATAGAAGATGATGATTGTGTTTGTGGTAAGTATGGTAGTACTTAAAATTTATGTATGCATATTCGTGCATTCATTATTGATTCTGAAGTTCCATAGAATATACTTATGTTGAAAATTTTCATATTGATAGTTTATTTTGTATTTCCCCCTCCTACATAAAATAGTGTTACTGTTGTTTGGTACAGTGGATGCGTGTGCTAATTAATGTCCAGTGTTTGGTATGAAGTTAAAAAAAACCCTTTTTTTCACTTTTCTGTAAGGGAAAATTTCTGAACATGTTTGGACATTTTTTGCTTTAAAAATTATTGAATTATGTTGTTCTTATCTTTTGGTTAAGTTTTTTATGCCTTTAGTTAATCTGCATGTAATATTTGTAAAATTATCAACAATTTAAAAGTTATTTAACTGCTGCTAAGCCTAATTTTTTTACTATAACAGCCATATTTGTTTACATTTGAAACTTGGCAAAATAGTGAATTCAGTTTCTGCACCTTCATAGTCTTTTTTCCGAGTGGGACCAAAAAGAAACTTAATTTTGTGCACCAAAAAATCTGCTTTCTTGCTGGTTGGCCGAATTGCTTGTTTTTGCATAGAAATTGTAATTTTAATTGTGAAAATTGTTTTCATAATTGTTTTAAAAAATACTTGGTGTTTTATGTTTTTCTATATCTTTAAATTTTTAATGAAAATATTTAGAATGTTTATGTATTTTTGCTTTGACGTGAAGCGAGAACTGAATTAGTAGTGCATGCACATTAGGTAAGTAGCGCTCAATCCTCTGTGAAAAACTTTTTTTATTTGTTTAATTTCTTTTATACATCATTTTATATTTTTTATAGTATTTGAATAGAACATGTGGTAATTCTTCAGAGGATATAATTCTTGTGTACTCTAAGTTATAAAATTAACGAGATGTAACACTGTTAAGTGAACCTAGCGCCAAAGTGTTGCTATGGTAAATAAATATAGTTAACTTAAAAGAGTGCATGTATTCTATTGTGGTTTATCTACTATCGATGAAGTAGATTTAATTCAAAATTTGTTAACTGTTAATTCAGTATTTTTAAAAGAGCAGGAAAATTGCATATAATTTAATATTCGTTATAGGGAAGTCATGTGTTGTACACATTGGATTTTTTTATTTTAAATATTTTATAGAGAATTTGGTCATAAAAAATGAAGTTCAACACACAATAGCAAGAGCTTAGTTTTCGATTAGTTAACTGAATGTAGTAAAGTATGTGAAGCACATTTGTTACAGGAGGAATGCCTTCATGGAGAGATTTATGGGGAAATTAATTCGTGTTCGTTTCACAGATGAGGAAAAGTATACTAATGTGTCAGGTTTCAAATCTCAAATGAAGTGCCAGTATTCAATTACACTGTGCTTTGGTGTGCTGTTAGGCCCCTCACAGTGAAATCGGTTTCTTTAATTAAATAATGTTTCATGCGTACGAACTCATAATGAGTTGATGATAGTTTGATAAAATTAATTTTACCAGAAGAAACAATTTACAGTTTTTGAACTTTCCATAAAAATACTTCTTTAGCTCTTCTTTAGTATCACAGTACAAGATCAATAATTATGCTTCAAACTACCAAGAAAGGTAACATAGTACAATGTGCATCTAAAGAGCAAAGCTCACACAGAGATATCTCCAGACTAGAATTGACTCTTGACTTCAAAAACTGAGAGCTGATGCTCTCTCTAAGCATATATAGTTTTTCCCTGGCCCTTCCCTTGTAGTATCTTCTCCTTCTTAAAATTACTGGAAAGCATATATGATTAAAGTTACATATAAGGGCTGGATACAGTTTCAGTAACACATAGGGATCAATTGCAGTTATTCAGTTACAGTACTGATTATAGTTATATATGGACAGGACTAAAATATAACCAAATGATTGCCAAGTTTGGCGACTTTTGGCTATTTATCGCTAAATTTGATGACAAAAATTAGTCACCAAAACCATCATCAGCTTAATGATATCTCACTTAACTTTCACAAGATAGCCCTTTGCTTAATGTTACATAGCCTTGCCCCTATAATTTTATTTATCCAGCAAAGCTTTGATGCTTCAGACTTTTCATGTTACATTATACAAAATTCATAGCATTGCCCCTTTCCCAAGGACTGCACGTCCCAGGCAGTACAATCCCTAGGGAGGAAGCTATACTTACGGCTAGTACAATGCAGTATTAAAACAATAATTCAGTAAATAACATACAACAAATCAAGCACTAAAATAATAATTAAATGCATAAAACTATAAATTTATATATAAATAGGGACCATGGTCTTAATTTATTATTTACATTATACACAGTATGGAGATTAAGTACTGTGGCCATAGTAAATACATAATTGCCAACTCTGCCGATTTAGGCGGGAGACTTCCGATTTTCAACCGCTCTCCCGCCAACCCAATATACAATATATTTCTCCCGACTTTTTCTTATTCTTAAAATTTCTCACGATTTTTATGGAACTTGGCTTAATACTTTGTTATATGAACAAAGGTGATTTTGGACATCTGAAAGCAATTGAATTTTCTCTAGATTATATCTAAAACAAAACCTTGCGAATTAGATAACTTCTGCTTTGTGAGTGAGAGCATATACGCATCCAGAAACGTCGTTCTCCAGTTCTCCAATGGGCATCGTGCTCCACTGCGTGTCACCTGGCATATAATAACCAATGAGGACAAAGCAAGCTGTTATTTAGATGTTCTTTAGTTATTTCGGTCACTTTGTCCTGAGTTGTGTGAGTAGACGTGCCTTCAGAAAATAGTTTTAGAAATGATCATCTTTTGTTATGTCTGCGAGAAAGGGGAAATACTCGTGTACATTTCAAAAATCGAATACAGTTGACTTTCCTTGCATTATTTCCTCAAGGAAATGTAATAAATTTGTGATGTGTACCGCCTGTCATTGCGATTTTTCAATTTTGCATGGTGAAAGGGCGGATGTTCTCAAACATGTGCGTACACAAAAACACAAGAGCAATGTGAGTTGTTTTGAAAAAACGAAAAATTAAATTTTTCGTCGGAAACAAAGGACCAAAATGTTATTAATGCAGAATGTCTGTTCTCTGCCTTTTTACTGGAGTACAACCTGCCACTGAATGCATCGGATCACGCTGCAGCTTTATTTAGAAAAATGTATCCCGATAGTGAAATCGCTAAGAAATCCTCAAATGCAAGAACCAAAACAGGTTCAATTGTTAAAGAAATGCATTTGAAAAATAAATCTTCAGTTATTGATTGCATTAAAACAGCTCCATTCTGCCTCTCTATGGATGGAAGCAATAATACCGATTCAAAACTGTATCCAATTGTTGTTAATTTTTTTTTAATCCAGAGTCTTCAGAAAATGAGTGCAGTTTACTTTCTGTATCCACTTTAGACAGACATTTGAGAGGCTTTACTATAGCACAGCTAATTATTAAAACTTTAAAAGAAAATGTAGTCCCTCTGGATAATTGCTTAGCACTTGGTGCCGATAATGCACCAGTATTGGTAGGCTTGAAGATTGGTGTTGCAGGCATCTTAAGAAAGGAAAATTCAGATTTGCAGATTATGAGGTGCACCTGTCACCTCTTAAATTTAGCAGCTGAAAAATGGACAGCTTCTTTACCAATAAATGTGGATGAACACATTGTTGATATTTACTATTATCTTGAAAGGAGTTCTAAAAGAAAGGGAAAATTGAAACATTTCCAACAGCTGCATAACAGTAGTTTACAATTAGAAAACTTGGATCAAGTTATAAAATCAGCTAGGATTGACACCCAGTGGAGTTTGAAAACTGAAAGATGCTGATGGAATTTTAAAATATAGTGAACTGTCTAGAATTATGTTGGCCATCTTAACAGTTCCCCATAGTAATGCAGTGTGAGAGGATTTTCAGTGTTGTTGCGAAAACGAGGACTAAATTTAGATCTAAAATTAGTGATGACACATTAGAAAAACTTTTATTAGTGAAAGCAGGCATACATGGCAATTGCTATTAACAAAATTATGAAGTTTCTTTCTTAAAGAAAGCAAAATCTGCCACTGTTTATAACATTTGTATGAAAACTGATTAAAAATTTTTCGTTTTCTTAAATGATGCAAGTAATAAAAATTTTTTTTTATGTGTAAGGTATTTTTGTGTTGCTTGCATTTAAGAATTAGCTACTATTTAAAGTTAATTCATTATTGAAAACTATATTTTCATCATTTAAAAAGTCTTTTTAACATTGTGAAAAATCTCCCGGTTTCTTAAAGAAATCGCCTGATTTTTGAGTGTCGTAGGTTGGCAAGTATGTAAATAGCTAACCTATCATAATGAAGAACTTTAGGCTTAGAATTTGATGACTTATGGATCTGAACTATGTCATCATTCAGCTTGTTTAAAATTGTGTAAGGACTGTCCCAGGACTACTGTAATTTAGGAGAAAGTCCTGTCTGTTCAGATTTTATAACTATACCTTGTCACCTTTTCTGAATCGATGCCTTTTAGCTCTTGTGTCTGGTCTTCACCTTCTGTTTTGACTAAGTTTGTATGAGATGTAAAATTGGGTGTCACTTGAAACCGTGTCTGGAGATCTTGAATGTACTCCTTAGGCGAGGAAGGTGCATCCAGAGGGCAAGGGATCACAAGGCAGACGAAAGACACGACCGAAGAGTATTTGGGAGGCAGACTAGCTAGTAGCTTCATGGATGGTACTGCAATAGACCAATAAGAATTGAGATAACTTCTGATCCCAGTTCTGTTAGTTTCTGAAAACTACCAGCAAGAGATTATTAAGAATGGTTCGATTAAACCTCTCTAGCATGCCATCTGACTGAGGATGTAAAGGTGCTAGAGGTGTTGTCTGGGTATTGTCTATGTGAAGTAGTATGCAGAGTTCTTTAATTACAGCCATGATAAAATTCTTTTCTTGTTTGGAATATAACTGAAGAGGCATTCCAAACCTGGAAATCCAATGCTGTATCATTAATTCTGCTACCGTGACAGCTTCTTGATAAGGGATAAGATGT